GTGTAAGAACTTGTAGTTGGTTATTAAGTTGTATTTAAAAAAACGTTTTACCGGTTGTTTTACTCTGGCATTGATTTTGATCATTTTATTGCTCTCTGCTGATCATTTCGTCTAGCAACTTGAACCAATGTACACGTGTGCCAGGTTGTAGATCACTTATGATTGATTATGGTTCAATCAGTGAATTTACAAACAAGTAGAATAATGCGTACGTTCAGACCGTCATGCTCGTTAACAACAACGAAACTGAGGAACCCAACACGAAAAATTCATAACAAAGGAAACATGTGTGAAGATGTCACTTCACATTAGGACTGTTAGCGAGATAAAGACTCGATTAAAGCTCGTTACGTGAAGGATTATGTTAGGGCATGCTGATTGGCTATTTCTTAACCAACAAGCGCTAGTGAATACTTAGAGAACCCTCTAGAATCTTTTCATGTAAAAACTATAGATATACTAACGTTTTTCTTATTGTTCTTCCTACTTCCATCTACCCTTGTTATTAGGAATATAATTTCGTTCCTGTTCAACTGCGTTCTGATTTGGGGACTTGTCAAGTGAAACAGTGTCCAAGAATACTAAGCAATAGGAGTATCTGGGTCGTAATAACACAAATTATAACAGGACAGAAAAACAAACCTAACAGGATAATGAACAGCAAAGGAGTCATAATAATAATAGTACGACTGAACATAAAAAGAACGGAATATATGGTATGTCGTGAAAGAAATATGAATATTCTCGGAATGACACGATACGGAGGCTCATGATCTAGGAAAATAAAGAGCATAAAAAAATCTGCGCTAGTATGGTCGACTTCGAAGCACGTCACCGAAAGGTTTAGAACCATCGAGGGATCAGTTCAACTGGCCTTCAGTCACACTTCGGTTCCCCCCAAATGCCCTGGTATGACCGAGAGTGGGGTGGGCCCGCCCTCCCTCTCGAGATGCTCTCACATGGCCACGCGTATACAGCCTCTGCCAGGGAAGTCCTACTCATTGCCTTCCCGTGGCGGGGGTGTTGTTTACGAAAATGAGAGGACGAAAAGCGAATGTCCGGCGCTTTAACCGGATTCCAAACCAATGGTGCACATGGGCTCCAGTATCCTTGGGAAACAAATGGCGTATCAACCAGTCGTTGGTCACCGGTTACCATGGGACGGCATCTCCTCACGATGCTCCACTGCCTTGTGGATCAGACCTTCAGGTCGAAGGCTCGGGGTGTGGCCCCCTAAGATAACCACCTGCTTCGGTATGGGCATCCGAGCAGTATCACAGCCCGCACACAAATATGATGAACTGTCGATAATTATGGAAAATACTTTTCTTACTTCAACTATTAATCAAACGATTCACATTATTATTATTACTATTGTTATTATTTACTACGTCATTTATTCACTCTCTTTTATTCCTACTCTGTTTATCCTTATTTTTCAACTTATACAGCAGCTCGTCTATGGTGGAAATTCGGTTCTATCTAAACGTTCTCGAGTAGAGACGTTATCAGATATGTCTCAGAATAGAAGCCAGTGGCGATCCTGCTGTAACCTTTTACTTTCTTCATAAAAAGTGGTTACTTCTTCCTTAACTGAAAGATCTCTTCTGAGTGTACGTTTCTGTTTCCCCCATTATTATTATTACACTACCTTACACTAATTTGTTCGTTATCTTTTTTTTTGTTTTTTTTTTACACTCCTTACATTTTTTTTCCTTCTCTGCAAATTCTCATTGTTTTGTGTGGCGCATATATATTTGATGCCCTCCTGTACCAATATTTATGTGTTTAGATATACTAGTCGACCTGAATGGCAAATTGGTGTAAGTCCTCCGACTCTTTACGAAGTTGAAAAAGCTACAGGAAGTCTGGAGCGAGGGAGAGCAGCAGACGCTGACAGGTTAACCCCTGAGATTTCTAAGGATGGCGATAGCAATGAGATTGACTGAGGCCTTAGGCAGAATCTGGGAACTGAACGCAATCATATCTGACTGGTCTCAATCACTGATTGTGCCAGTCTGTAGGAAAGGACAAACGTCCTCTTGTGACAATCACAGAGGAATCAGTTTGACTAATATATTGTCTAAAATATTAGCTTCAACAATACTTCGACGCCTAACTAAAGCTCGCGAAGAGCAGACGGGAGAAAACCAGCCAGCTTTCCAACCTTTCATTTTTATTTTATTTAAACACATAAACATTGGTACAAGAAGGCACCAAATATATATGCGCCATACAAATCATTCGATTTGTGTGAGGGCTGAGATCTGCCTGAGTGCCTAAACCGAAGCAGGGTTTCCGACCTGGAGGTGGCTGTATAGACCAGATATTCACACTACGTCAGGTCCTAGAACTCAGAAGCCCCACAATCGTAGTATTTCTCGGCCTTAAGGCAGTATTTGACTCTGTTGATCATGAGGTTCCATGGAAGTGTTTTTCACTGAAAGGAGTATCAAAGAAGTACATTAACCTTATACAGGCTCTCTACTCCAACACAACTGGCTGAGTGAGAGCCTATGGCGAACTGTCATCAGAATTAATTACCCCAAGTGGTGTTCGTCAGGGCTGTCCACTCTTTTCATTCTTGTTTAACTTTGTCATTGACGTGCTTTTGGAGATGACACTTTCCTCATCTAAATTTCCAGGATTTGGACTTCTACAGGGAGATTCACTTGTTGACTTAGAATATGCCAATGACATAGTACTATTCGGTGAAGACGCTGAAAAAATGCAGTCTTCTGACCACCGTGAGCAACGATGCAAGCATGTCCAGGATGCGATTCTCCCCCTCGAAATGCAAAATGTTGCTTCAGGCCCCCAAATACCCTGGTATGGCCGAAAGTGGGGAAGGCCCTCCCTCCCTCTCGAAATGTTCTCACACGGCAACGCATATACTGCCTCTGCCTTCTCGTGGCGGGGGTGTTGTTTACGAAAATGAGGATGAAAAGCGAATGGCCGGCGCTTCAACCGGATTTCAAACCAATGGTGCACATGGGCTCCAGTATCCTGAGGAAACAAATGGCGTATCAACCAACTGTTTATCACCGGTTACCATGGGACTGCATCTCCTCACGATGCTCCACTGCCTTGTGGTTCAGACCTTTAGGTCAAAGGCTCGGGGTGGGGACCCTTAAGAAAACCACCTGCTCCAGTCTGGGCACTCAAGCAGTATCACAGCCCACACACAAATATGATGAAATGTCGATATTTACGGAAAATACTTTTCTTGCTTCGATTATCAATCAAACGGTTCATATTATTATTATCACTATTATTGTTATTATTTATTACGTCACTTATTCACTCTTTTTTATTCCCACCTTATGTATCCTTATTTTTCGACTTATACAGCAGCTCATCTATGGTGGAAACTCGGTTCTATCTAAACGTTCTCGAGTCAGTGACTGGTTGAAAATTGAATGCTACCGCCAAATACGAATACTCAAGCAGTTTTTCTGAAACCACGTGCACCATTCAAACTGGCTGCCTTCAGCGTTCGCACACTTGTGCAGATCGGACAAAAGATAGGGCTATCTATGTCTTTAAAAAGTCTTAATATCGACGTTTTTTGTCTATCCGAGACACGTATTCAAGACTCTAGTGAAGTACTACAAATTCGCTCTCCATCTATCGCCTCAAAAGGCTTGTTTTACGTGCGTTTATCCGGGGACCCTGTGGCATCTTCGTCTGGTTATTTACGGTGTAGGCGAGATATCCGTTTACTAACCCAAGGACGAGTTTATTGCGCAGCAGTTCGTTCTGTCCTACTTTATGGAAGTGAAACATGGCCAGTAAGAGTAGAGGATATTCGTAGGTTACTAGTATTCGACCATAGGTGTCTTCGAAGCATTGCTCCTATATCCTGAGACCATCGAGTAAGTAATGTAGTTGTTAGGAAACGGGTCCTCGGTAAGGACAGTAAATCAATTGACGAAGTAGTGAAAATGCATCAGTTGAGAAGGCTGGGATACGTGTTACGTGTACCCAACCACCGACTGCTCCGATGAGCGATGTTTCATGGTGTAGGAGTAGGTTGGAGCAAAGCTAGTAGCAGCCAGACCAAAACATGGCACAAATCCATGAAGTCTCTAACAAGTGGATCGAACCATATTGGTAGGTGTATACTACCTGATTGGGATCCGTGAAACGATAGCAACCGATGGTTAGAGACCGTGAATGACATGGCTCAGTATCGTTTGCAGTGGCGCAGGTGCACCCACTCTTTATGTTCTCCCAAATTACAATCTTCCGAATTCTTCATGTCCCTTATTTTTTCTCTTTCCAAATTTATTTCACTGGATTATAATCCTTGAATAACATCTTCAAACTCTGATCTTTCCGATTACTGCTTATACTTTTACTACCTCTACCACTACGGGATTTGAATCGACAATTGTATCTGTGTGCTAATGTGGTAAGGCAACTCGAACTGATATACGTACGTACGAAGTTCTACGTTGTTGCTGGTTGACTGAGAAGCATCGGTCACGATTAATGCACGCGACTATATGATTAAATACATCTAGCTTTGATTCATTCAACGATAAACATAGAAGACTCTCTGTACTATTCTCTTCCTAGACTAAACGAATTCAGAATATAAATAACGAATTTGTGGAGAAATCAAATAAGAACGAACAAAGCCAGTTGTTATGGTGCAGAAACATGCTTACGAAGTCCTTGTAAGTAGAACAGAAATGAATATGCAAATAGTGAAAAGTCATTTTTGATAGTAGCACTAATAAAGAGTGTTTAATGTAAAAAAAATTCAGTAGACAAAGATACAATTCGTAATTTACGAAAACGTAATATTAAAGTCATAAGAGAAATGGTTGGTTGGAGGGATTTTCACCACCTACTCGCCCCTAACAAACATGAAGATGTGTCAATATACTTTTAGTATTGTCATTTGAACAGAAAAACGACAACTGGCAGACAAGAGGTAAAACAAAGAATACGAATATCAATATAAAACATGCAAACTATGTACACACACTCACCTTAGATGGGACAAGATCAACCAAAGTCAATAAACGATTACGTGATATACTTGTCTTTCGATGATGATCAATTAATTGGTTAATGGAATCAAATTTAGATAACCAGAAAAAATATTTTCCAGCTTCGTCTTGGAGTACTTTAAAATGAAGAACTTCACAACCTTGTCTAAAGTAGAAAAAGTGGAAATAAATGAATGAGTGAGAAACATACAAGCGAAAAACTCTATATTAAAAGTAAACAAATAAGCGGATACTAAATAATGTGAACAGAAACTAAAGTAAAATGAAGCGACTCAAATTGATGATGATAAGGATATTTTAGGTAGATTTGGTAGTTAGCAGAACACGCGTTTCATCCTGTTTGGAACCCATCAATTAGATGCACCTGAAACTGTGTTGATGTTCAGATCTGGGCTTGAATCCAGCAGCTTTCGCTTCAAACGCTCAGCGCTTTATTTACTTAGCTACTGAGTATAGATAGCCATGATGTGTTGATTATGGACTGCAATTGACTAGGCTCTTTAAGAACATATGTGCATATTATGCGAACTGCCTTGATACTTTTATAGTGTTTGATCAACACAAAGGAAATGGTGAAGTTTTTTGTGTTACAAATGGCCAGAAGAAATAGTTCATAGGTCTTTAAAAGCCTTATTATTATTATTTATAAAAGTTAAAATATGGAACTGCATTTTTATTTTATTTTGAAGATAGTTTCGGTAAAGTTGCATTCTATGGATTTGCGCAACTGTTTTTTGCTAGACATCATTATCATAAACGCAAACTTCAGAAAGAAATGAGATACTGTAAATTTTCCAAGGTCTGTTTTGTTTACTGTTATGATTTTATGTCCGGCTTTTTATCACGTGATTTATCCACCAATCAAGATGCGACTTATACAATCTTAACACTATGCCAAACCAATGAAGTTCAACCGGTATGAGCAGTCTAGCGTCCTTATTGGTCCTATGTCCTCCTAACCCGTCCACTTGAGTCCAGAACACAATACCAGCTTCTGCGATATGAATCGAATAGTTTATTTCAGACATACTCAGTTTATATATCAATCAGACAGACCACAACGTACCGTAAAATAGAAAATAACAAGTGTACACAAATAAGCCCAAAAAGTGGCTGTGAATGTGGGAGGCAGTAGTTAATAAACTGAACATAACTTAAGAACCGTAAATCGTATAATAATAAGTTATAGGTCAAAACAATGCTTATAATAAAGGGAATATAAATATACATAATCTAATTGTTGAATATTTATAAAATAAGAATATTTATAGAATATTAGTCCATTAATAGTCCTCGGAAGTTACCCGTAATTTAGTCTTCGCTCGGATATAACATTGACACTGGATTTAATTTGGTTGTTATCAGTCACACAGACAAGAGAACACAATATCATCAGAATCATCATCCTGGGTTAAAAATACCTTGTTGCACACTGACATTAACTTGCTAAACATGGATGAGAGGACCATCGATAGCTTCTTGATTATATTTCTGGACTTTACAGCAGTATGCAAATATAATCAAGCCAGGAATCAAATCCAGGGCCAGTAGTGGACCAAGTGGGGGTCCCATTGCTACACCATCCTTCTGTCTATAAATTACGTCGTTGAATGTGAACTGTGCATTACAAGTGCAACGGAGTAATAGTTCCTTCAAATAAACATCCGGTATTCTGATGCTTATCTCATTATTATTTATGTACTTGCAGATCAAACTAATGGTCTCTGTGAGTGGAACATTAATGAATAATGATTCGACATCCAGAGGTAGCATAATTTTGTCACTTACATTCACTTCTTTTATGTGCTCGATAAATTCAAAAGTATCACGTACGGAATGCTTACAAATGTGTTTTCTAACGGGTTCTAGGAGACTTGCCACCCACTTTGCTATACAGTAGTAAGGGGATCCTGACATATCGAGAATCGGTCTAAGAGGTAGGCCAGTTTTGTGTATTTTCGGCATTCCGTATAATCGCGGTATTATTGATGCTGTTGATTTTATGCGCTCAAAGGCATGTTAGTCGATTAACTGATCATTTTTCATTCTCTTAAGAACTTCAATCAGTTGCTTTTCCATAATTTCAGTCTTGTTTTCTCATTGATTGATTCATTGATAAGGACATAAAACCGAAAACGCCGAAAACACAGATAACTACAGTAGAAAAGAAAACTTTTACATGAACATCGGGTTCAAGGGTGACAGAGCCACACACACACACCCTAAAAAGGAGAATTTCCGATTCTTTAAAAAGAGCATTCCCCGCAACAACATTGCGAATAGTATTCTCCAGCTGATCATTGTTCACCAACAACCATAAAAATAAATTATCGCATCCGACCAACTTAATGTGCATTTACCAATTTACCTGCTCATGTAGAGCTGGGTATATAGGTCGTCCGATGCGTACTTTATCCAAAAGAATTCAAGAACATTGTCCGGTGTGGCTAAAAAGAGGAGGGAACGGCTCAATAAGAAGTTCAATAGTCGAACACCATGTGAAAACAGGTCACTCAATCAAGATAGACTCCGCGTTCAAAGTCATCTACAAGGTAAGTAGATGTTTTCTGAAGACCATTAGACTGCATCTTCTTAGCACTGCCGAAGCATTAGCCATACATCTGGAAAAATAATAATTGTGTACGCAAAAGAGATTGGTACAACCTCTTCTGCTAACATGGTCTTAATGTCTGATAATTTCTTCTCTTTTTTCTTTTCTCATACTCTTCTTCCTTTACAGCTATCTGCTTCCCTTTCCATCTTCCCCTTAAATCTTCTACCCCTAACTGGTTTATTTTTGCTTCTACTATCATCCTGATTGCACTTAATCTTAATTTCAACATTTTATCTTATCATGCTGAGCCATCCTTTCCCAATGATAATTTCCCTATCTATCTTTTGGTGAATACTGAAGCCATTAACAATCAAATGATTATTAGACTTCCATTGTTTTTTTTTAAATTTTCAATACATTTGTTTATTTGACCTTACTGTCACCATGTATAACAGAAGTTTATTATCATCCTGTAAAAATAAGTATATGTATTTGCGATTGTACAGCTTTGAAAATGAATTCGCCGAAAAGAGAACTCTTCGCTGAACTAATCTTTCTTATTTAATGTCTTAATGAGTGTATTACGTTTACTTACTGTATTTGTATCAAAATTCAGTCAACCACCAACCCAAGATCTACGGGACTACCGTTAAAAATTCACCTCATAAATATAGTTGAAATCGATAAAATCAAAAACGAGGAGTACAAAAATGGTGAGTAATGTAGTTTAGTACCCAGTTACGGGTCAGTTGGAGATAGGTTATAAGGAACTAGAAATAAGTGGCTATCATAATAGGGATGTTGAATAGATAGCGTAACAAACGAAAGCCGGTGCTCAAACTGCTGACATGTATGGTACTTGAACGGTTGATGTTGGTTTTTTAACTGCTTCCTATTCCGCAGAAATCGTCTACACTTGAACCCCAAACAGAAGATAGAAGATGGGAAATTTGATAAAAGTTTTACTTTCAGGGTTAGTTTAGGTAAGTAAAACAAGGATATTTGTAATTTTACGTCTGACCCTGATATTCTAAAAGCTTATAGAAACATGTCAAAATTAGTAAAATAATAGTTAATTATACAAATGAGATATGATGCATAATCTGTTACTTCGTAAAATCCTCTTGAAAGTCCGTAAAAATATTTTCTATGAAGAATAACAATTCCATATGTCTTACCAAACTTCGGTAGGGGTGTGATTTCTAAGTCCACTATTCGTAAGTGCCTATGTCGACAGATCACAAAACTGTAATGCCAGAAGATCACAGCCTCAGTTTATAATTTAGTGAATAAAGTAACCAACAATTAAAAGTATGTGATTTTTCATACACTCAACATTACATTGCCTTTGAATAAAGATGAATTACACACTAATTAATATAATAAGACATCAATTTTCTAGAAACAATTTGAAGAGATAATATTTGATACATAGTTTGAGTTGCGCAAAGGCCGACTGACTATTTACAGTCGTATTCAGTAGCCGCAAATAATATCAACATACTTTAGACTCGAATATTTCCTCATGTTCGTATATTACTTCTCTAAGATCTTAACGTAGTAGTCCTTTAAGATATTATTAACTAAATGTCATAAACAATTGCGCAATACCTTTACATAGTATCTAGTACTTAGTGGAGCGAGAAACGGAATATTAGTAGTACTAAATTTGAAGAAATATATAACACTCTTTAGCAAAGTATGAAAAGAAAAATATTTACTTGCCAGGTGAGTTGTATTTCATTTTCTCCCTTCAACTAAGTCTTATCCTAAAGTAATTTTTGTAGTCACTGACCATGTGATCTCATATACGTTTAAAATAGCTGTATTTTCATTTAAAAAACCGTAGTTGTATTGTGAGTCAAATGATTTAGGTTGTTATTAATTATGAGCAGAAACCTAGGTACTGTCTGACATGTTAATCATCAATAAACAACGTAGAACATGGAACATACGTATATCCCTTCAAATTGCACAGAAGTACAGAGAGATATCAAAGCAGTGTAGGTAGAGTATTAGTGGTAGTTGTAAAGAATAAAGATTAGAGAATATTTGTGAAAATACAGGTCTGTGGAGTAAAAAAAGTATGAATTTATGAACTTGAGACCTTAGGTAGCACAAAAAGTAAGTGCACCTGTGCTGTTGTGAACGATTTTGATCTGTCACTCAGCGTTTCTAACGTCTGGTTACGAAAATCATGTGAGCACCAACCAGGTAGTCTGCACCTACTTACAAGCCTTATTCCAAGAGCTGACCATGTCCTAGACTGATGCCACGTCTAAATTTGGGTCCACCTAACTTTATTCTAACCTACTCCTATATCAGACATTGTCACGCGTCGAAACGCGGTGTGGTTAGGCATGCTTGACATATGTTACAACCACCAGTTGATGGAGATCCCTAACTTCAACCGATTCCTTATCTTTAACCTGTACCTTATACTCAACCATCTTGACCACTTGATGATCCCAACATACACCAGCACTACTTTAAAGTGAATATATAATAAAACAATAGAGACCTACGAATGCCCTCTAGTCCAAAGAGGCATATCTCAAAGTTGAACAGAGCAAATTGATGCTCAGTATACTACCCCTTTGGTTGGTAGACAGACCATTACGAAGGAATTATTATCTTACTGACTAATTTCCTTTTAAATATTCCACAAGACGCTTAGAAATATGACTGAAGTTGTGACCTCTATGCACTACTTTTATTCACCGAGGTCAGTTATTCCTATCTACCACTTAGGATGGCATCATTATTTCGGATTAATTTGGCTTAAGGTTTGATACACAAACCCATACTTAGGTTCTGAGTAAAAAAAGACACGTTCAGCATGGTGGAAAGGATAATCCGAGAAAGCATGTGTCAAATGATTATCTGGAACTGAGATGTTTTTATTGAACAAAACTTACTTGACAGACAAACTAAATCCTTTACCGTCTGCTTCACTTTGACGCAATATAAAAGCTCCATCTGGTTGCAAATGTTGTGCTGTTTCTTGATCGATTTCTTGAAGTCTTTCTTCGGCTTCCATACGACTACAGTGTCGGATGTACCAAGGGTGAGGACGCATTGTGATGTAATTGCACGGTATTAAACCTGTTCGGCCTTCCTGTTCGGCTAAGTACCAGTTAGGATCGTCTTCCACACATAGTATCTATGGAAGTGAGTGATACGTATGTAACGCAAATGGATAACTTTTGAATGCTAAAAGTCGAGGTTAGTATGAGTGATTCCAAAAAATGAGACAGGAACTGACATAACGATTATACACGACACTACCTAGATAACAAAGTAAGCTATTTATGGTATATGGATAACACCTTTCTTAACCTTTTATTAAACACAATAACAACAGCCTGACTATACAACTGAGCTTCACTTTGTTTTAAGATCTGTAAGGTCGAAACATTTGTGAAAAAAAAACAATTGTTCTTATTCATTCTCTACAGTTGGCTTGTTGTGACTGTATGTTTGCTTTTTATACGAGTATAAGGCTCATTTTTACTCTGCAATAGTCATTTCAAGCTCTTAGGGTTTAAAAATGATTTAAGGGAAAGTGGTTCTCGCTGTACAAATTATCGTGACACAAAGTATCAATGGATGGAATGAAGAGTCAAATAACATAAACATAGTTCAAACAAAAACATTGGAGATTAGGCAATGTTCACGAGATATCATAATTAGGCTGAAGCTGCTTTAGTAGTTTCATAACAACGCTCGGAGGACTTCCCATGGGAGACGCTTACACGAACGATGACATAGAATCACCAAAGGAAAACACATTTGACCACCATGATTCAGGTTACAAAGGCTGTATAGGATACAAACTGCAACCTTAGAAAGAAGTCAATAGGATTATACCATAATATTATAGTTTAAATAACCTGATGTGACTTACTAACAGAATGTACGGATATTACCACTTGATGCTGATCCATTTTTTAATAGGAGAAACACTATTCGGCTGTTTCAGATGAAATAGAGGGTGTTTAAACTTTATAGAAAGACTAGCTAGGGCACCACCACTGAGTCTTACCAAACCAGTCAGTTACTTTAAGGAGGTCCGATTTTCAAAAATGTCATGGATAACACTCCGTTAGAGTAGTGATCACTAGCGCAATTTGTTGTTGAGGTTCATTTCGCCAAATTTACGAAAGTGAAACATCTAATTTATAAATCAGCAGACCTCTGTTTATACTCTGAACAACTTAGTAATGATCTGCTGCAGAATAAGAACGCATATTACGAAAAATGTTTCGCAAACAGTCATGGAAATATAATCGGCTGTTTAGCTGATGAGTGTTAAAAATCAGACTACACAAAAATAGTAACAGTGAAGACCTTAACAGGACTTGAGTTTCATAGGTAAACCAAAATAAAAACACGGGGGTGAATAAGTAGAGTGACTTCCAATGTTTTCGGGCATTTCGATACGGGGTGAAATACCAAGAAAGTTTTCCATTTATCCATTCATAGGTTTTTATCGGTAAAGCCTCATTTATTACTTTAGTTCGGATCAGAAGTATGGATCTGACAGTATGATCAAAAGCAAACACCTTGTACTTAGACCTGACCGATCGATATGTAGGGCCCACTCAGTGAGCTGCAAAGATTTAATCACCATCTTAAGCTAAACATATATGCAATGAATATACAAAATTATAATACAGAAGCTTATTGTGGAAGTGCGCCACATTGTGCTATGTGATTATGTGATATGACTTACCTTTAAGAGACTTCCTTTTTTAAATCCAAGTTCATCTTCAGCGTTGGCAACAAAATCATAGCTAGCCTCAGCCTCCATCCCAAGTCGGAGTAACAACCCAACACGAAGCACTTAGGCACAAGGTCAATGGAAAGGGTAGCGGGATATTTGTAACCATTGAGGGCTGAGGTTAGGTTGGAATTATACGTCACATTTTGAGTGTAGGGATTGATATTACTCAGCCAATTACGTGGATTACTACTATGTGAGATTTTCTCATATACATGAACTAAGTAGATCTAAGCGCATGAGTGAAACAACTTCAACGTAATCACTAAATTAACTTTGCAGCTTTTATTATGGCAGTATGACAAACGTCTAAAGAATTCGGAGTCTGTTTCCACGAATTCTTGAATTTCATGAAGCCTTTACACTTTTAATATAGTATTATTGCTAATTATTATCAGTGGTTCTTGTTGGTAAGTGTGACTTCTGTGTGCTGATTCATCGAAACACTTGTAGCGGTAAATAAATCCCCAAAGTCAATAGCTCTGTAAGTCTTTGACATTTGGGGCTCACTACATTAATTTTAATGGACCCATCTAGCTGAAGGCTCTCGGTCATGCATTCACATCTGATCACGAGTAGGTACGCTGTGCTCAACTTCCATTATATCCGTTATATCTTCGAACCTTGTCGCTTCTGATTTCACTGGGTCGGCACGTCTTGACGATAGAATGTGTTGCTGGTCAGAGTGTTGTCAAACTCCAAATACTTGTGTCATCTTCAGTGGTGAGTCCGACGTGATCTGGTACACCTGTTTATAAATTGTGAGTCTGTTCCGTTTCAGAACTTTATATATCATTTCTTTACTGTGATTGTATATATTGTGGTATTTTTCGTATTTTTCGGATATTTCTCTTCATCTCGTCCATTCCTATACTTTATATTCGTCATGACCGAACAGACTCCTGAGTTACTTAAGATCAAGACTCTTACGCCACACTCATTATAGCTAATGCCACTCTGGCCCAACAACATCGAAGCCTTGTTCTGCTACGCAGGATCTGACTTCTACAGACACGGCGTAACAGAACCACGTCCGAAATTCCTCTCAGTCGTGAAGGCACTACAACAGGTAAGTTACGCCCAGTATATTTGCTAGTGATTTTTCAGAAACTTACGAAACTCTCTTTGACGCGAAGATCTAACCGATTGACAAAGGTTATATGAACTCCTCAATAACATTGATCTACAACATGGCTCAACAACAGACATGGTACGGATGAGAGAGGTTGTAACAGCTTAGGTTGATTGGTTAAGAGGTGACCTCAAACAACTGAGTATATGTCAAAACAATAGAGCTTGTAGCGGTAAATAAATCCTCAAAGTCAGTGGCTCTGTAAGTCTTCGACATTGGATGCTGACCACATCAGTTTTAATGGACTCACCTAGCTGAAGGCTTTCGGCAATGCATCCGCACCAGATAACGACGTGCTCAATATCCACTGCAATTGCTAGCCAGATTAGACCAGCCAATCCCTGACATAATGATAGCTTATCAAATATATCTTCGAACCTCTTCAATTCTGTCTTTTGATTTCACTTGGTGTGTACGATTCATAAAAGAAGGTGATACTGGTTAGAGCGTTGTCAAACTCCGAATACCTGTGGGGTTTTCATTGATGAGCCTAACGTGATCTGAAACACCAAATCGCGAACAGTGAGTCTGTTTCTTTTTGGAATCTCATAAGTCAATACTTTATTTTAATTTTTTGTATATTGTGTTATTTTGTTTCGAGTTTTTGGACTTTTCTTTCTCCTCGTTCATTCGCGTACGTAATATCTCACTATGACGGAACAGACACCTAAGGTACTTAAGTTAAGGACTAGGTCCCAAACTTCATTGCAAATAATGCCCTTCTGGCCAGACAACATCGAAGCCTGGTTCTGCTACACGGAAGCCGGCTTCTACGAACACGGCGTGAACGACACATGTGCACAATTCCTCGCAGCAGTCAAGGCACTGCCGCGCGAATTCAACAAGCACATAACACCTAGTATATTTACTAGTGATGGTTCAGAACCCTACGGATCAATTAAACAATCTATCCTTCAACGCGGAGATCTAGCTGATCGACAAAGGTTAGACGAACCCCTTAACACTACCGACCTGCAACATGGTTCTGCGACAGAAATTTTACTTGGAATGAAAGAGGTTATCGGAGAAAGAACGTTGGATGATGGCCTATTCAAACACACTTTCTTATCAAAACTCCCTCGACAGGTGCAAGCTGTGCCGGTTTCGTTTCAAAACAACGCCTCAGACGAGCTGACTGCATCAGCCGACCGCATCCTATAAACCACCAAATCATCTAACATCGAGTTTTTTTCAGTCAAAGAAGAACCTCAAAGGACACAGAATGACATTACGGAAATGTTTCATTTGCTGACACGTTATCTACGGTTTTGTAATGACTGTAAACGGTCACGTACTCCGCGGAGAAGCACCTCACGTAGACGATCTGTCTCTAGACCACGAGAGTGGGATACGTTCGACTGGCGCTGGTATCATATCCAGTATCGAAAGTCTTCTGAAGATTGCAGAAAACTCTGCAATTTTCCCAACTCCAAATAGAAGAACATGAATAACAATTCGGGAAACTTCCAAGCCGGCGCGCATTAACGGCAACCGTAGTCGACGAACATAGTCGTCTGTTATGCGTCACAGATGTGATAACGAAAGTTCGCTGGCTCGTCGATACTGGCGCAGAATTTAGAGTTCTTCCTGAAAATTCTAACGACCGGCTTCGTGAATCTGTTTTAAACTTACAGGCTGCAAACGGAAAGCCAATCGCCACATACGGTAAAAGTTACGTCTACCGTAACGTGGGTTTAAGCAAACCCATTCACTGAATTTTTGTTGTTGCAGATGTTTCTATGCCTATCATTGGTATAGACCTGCTACAACGTCACAATCTACTCATCGATACGCGCGAACGGAGGCTAGTAGACGGAAACACTGATTCATCTGTTTGCGTAACTTCTTTTTCCGGTTGCAGATTATCTCCAGTCTCAATAAAGCACATGATAGATCCATTCTATAAACCGCCACATGATAAGTTTTCTGTGATATACCCACCGCAACCGAAATTGTAACGTTACACACCACATCACCACTACAGGACCACCTGTATTCTCGAAAACACGCCGACTGGCCGCCGATTTCGACCACATGATAGACTTAGGTATCAGAAGACTGTCAAACAGCCCGTGGGCACCCCTCATGCAAATGGTCTCTAAGAAAGACAGCAACGATTGACGTCCAAATGGTGACTATCGTCGATTGAATGCGAAAACCATTCCCGATCGTTACCCGTTGCCTCACATTCACGATTTGATAGCTACCTTGAAAGGTACAACTGTCCTTTCGAAAATTGACTTGGTTAAGGCGTATAAACAAATCCCTATGGCTACTGACGGCATTCCAAAACGGCTATCATAACTCCCTTCGGACTCTACGAATTTTTGCGAATGCCTTTGGGCCTAAGAAATGCCGCCCAAACTTTCCAAAGGTTCATAGATGAAGTTTTCTGAGGTCCCAACTTCGTACATGAGTATGTTGATGACTGCTTAATAGCACGTCAGGACAAAGAATCGTATCTCCAGCATCTGGATCTTGTTT